TCTTTTTAAAAATATATATATATTTATTGGGTTTTAAACTAGTTATACAATTGAAATAATCAGTTTGGCACTACTCTATACAGGGATTATGCTTGTGTATGCTGATACTTAAATACTGTACCAGGACCATTGCTGTGCTTAGGTCTGTATTGAGTCATTCAGCATGTAGATACTAAAAATATACTTTAGTGTTCCTTTAAGGAAGACTGTACAGGGTGTGTTGCAAGATGACATTCACCAATTTGTGAATTATTTCAACCTAGAAGTTACCTTTCACTCCATAAATTTGTCATAGGCAAACATGTGATGTTAACACTGAGAGATGCACACAAAAATGTTACATAAAAGTTCAGACATTCTAATGATAAATGAACTGGAAAAAAGAAAAAGGAAAGAAAACCCCACATCTCAGTTTTTGTAACAAGAAAAGATAAAGAAAATAATTTAAAAACACAAAAAATGGCATTCAGTGGGTAGAAAAGCCCAAAATCACTATAATAAAGAACTACATGTGGATCTTTACAAATTACACAATGACGTTGTGTAAAAGGTTGCATCTGTACAAAGTCTTGTCAATGCTATCTCTACAGTTTATTCATCTTTTACATTTATTTAATTGACTTGTTTAATATATGTTATATATCAAGCCTTATTAGTCTCTCAACGATTCTGCAGGCAAAATAAAAGAGAACAAAATAAAAAGAAAAAAATTACAAAATATCCACAAACACAGCAGTCTTCCATTTAGGTGGTAACAGTTTTAAGAGGGTCAAACAATAGTTGTAAAGAATACAGGGAAAAACCAACCAGTCAGGATTTTTATTGTTGTTGCTGTTTATTTTTAAAATCACACATTGAATACACACAACAATCAAATTTCTTCACCAAATCCCCAATTTTTTAGCAACTGCCTCTATTCAGCACCAAAAACTCCAATCTGCGGGAGGTGCACAAATACAGACTTCACTCTGTGTCCCAGTCGAGCAATCCATCAGGTCACTGGTTAGGTTCAAGACTTGCCCTCTTTTCCTTCCCTCTTCAAGGCTCCCCAGACCCAAGGCTCTCAAGGCTTCAGATTAACGGCCCACAGCCTGACTACCATCTAAATCTGGCAGCCATTTGGGAATAATTCAAAATAATTTGAGATGAATGAAATGACAGGACCTGTATTACAGATGGGTATTCTCCATTCCAAGTAAATTGTTTCTTAATGAGCTCCTAGATCCTGGTCTTGGATGCCATGATCATACTGGGTAATTATTTCTAGTCTGAGACTTTGTGACTTTGTCAGATGCCTCAAAAAAAAAAAAAAAAAAGTGATCAGTATTCTGGAAACATTTCCGGACAAGTTAGGAAATCAAATAAATAGCAACTGAGAAGCTGTGGAACGCAGACTAATGAGATCTAACACAGAAACCACCAAAATGATGAGACCTCAGCAGAGGCAGTTTTAAAACTTGCAGACAGCCACCACAGATGGTACCTGAGGGTGTGGAGTTTTTGAAGAAAAGAGCCTGAAGTGAGGACTAGTCATCTGTCTATGCATAATAGCATGGTGACACAAGAAGATCGGTGAGAACAAGCAGTTGGTCATCAGTGAATTGCTGTTTGTGTTCCTGCCAGTTGTCATGGTGAGTCCTTCGGAAATTGGATAAGGTCTTTTTCACAGTCATCTCAATAGGCTGAGGATCATTTAGATGTGCACTGAGATTCATGAGGAGCTGGGGCATCCAGGTGGGAACATCATAAGGACTAGAAAGGACACATGCACCAAGTCCTAGCACCCCAGCGTGGCATTTGACCAACTCTGCAGAAGGAATGGTATCTCCTACAGAACCAGGGTCTTGCTTTCTTTTCTTAGGTAGTTTTGTTTTGCAAAGCTTCTCAAAATGAATCTGCATAGGACTGTCCATGGTGAGGAAGTTACACTGCAGCAGGCTGCTTAAGGTGGTGGCAGCCATTTCTCGAACCTCTAGTTGTTCATCCTCCAAAAGACTTATAACCAGCCACCTGATATCTTTAACTGCATCTTCACTGTTTAGGAAAATAAAGAGGTTGTAAAATACCATGGTCTGGAGGTAGGTCAGTACTGTGTATCTTGCATGCCAAGAACTGCTTCTTGCTGTTTGTTTTAGCACCTGAAGTACCAAAGGCACCTGATGAGGGTAAAGCGGCCCCTGAGACATCAATGATAAACATAACTTTGCATCTCTTTTCAGTTCATCGTAGCTATTATCATTTTCCACTGGGGCAATCTTAAAAAACAAAGGCAGAAGCTGAAGTTGTTCTGTGACTGCTGCAGAAAAGGATCTTCCTGCACTTGCCATCAGCCATTTCAATATGGTTTTCAAGAGTTTAATGCCCTGAGTTCGTTCATCTTCTTCACCAATTCCATTTTCCTTCATAACATGGTTCTGAATTTCTTCATCCACATCCATGAGAGGTTTCAATTTCTCCAGAATTCGAGCAGTAAACTCAGGGACATGAGGCGACATGGTTGGTGCAGTATTTGGCAAAGAAACATCTATCCTGAATATGTAGGTCAGCACACTTCCTATTCTTTCTCTGACATTTTTGTAAACCTGGGTGAGTTTGGGTTCCAAGTACTTCAGTAGTCTGTGCAATAGTTCAGGCACCCTCCATTCTTGCTGGGCAAGGCCACCTTGTAGTACATAAAGTCGACACGCATCTACAAAGGATCCTCCTTCTCCACTCAATGGTGATTCCAACAGAAGTTCAAAAAGCCAATGAAGTTTCCGGGGATCTCTGCTTTCACAGGATGTTGCTATACAAGCTCCCCAGTCATTGTAAGTTTCTATGGTAATGTTGGACAGTGCTGTTCTAAGCAGAGGGCACAGAAGCTCCCACAGCTTCTCCACCTTTTCAAATGTCCAGTGCTTAGAACCTCCGATTAAACCAGCTATAATTTCTGCAACACAGCGCTGGGTGCTTTCATGTGAATCTGCAACCAAACGTTCTAAATGGGGCTTCAGAACTGGCAGGAAGGCATCATCAAAATTCCTGAATATACCCTTGAAGAGACAAAAACGTCGTGGATTAAACTTATCTTTTCCTTTTCTGTCTTCTAATGATAGAAAAGTAATTAACTGTTCAACAAATTTGGGATCAGAAAAATGATCAAATATAATCTGTTCTGCCTCTGTCATATCCTCCCTGCTTCTGCCAAGCTTAGGCTGCTCTTCCACACCAGCATAAACAACCATATTCTTTGGCCAGGTATAATATCCCCAATGAGTTTTTTCCACAAAGAAACTCGACTCCCATTCTTCTTTAGTTCTTGGTATAGTTTTGCTATCATAATGCAACCAGTGATTATCAGGCCTATCACCAGCAATAATTTGGGTGGGTTTAGGGTATCCACTGATTTCACAGGGGTTAATGGTCAGCTTTTTGTGAGTTCTTTTTAGCTGTTTAAGGATACCGGCAACAGCTGAGATAGCCATCTTTCGAACTACGGTTGCATCATGGTTGAGATTCTCAACAAAAAACCGTATGGCGCGAAGAGGCAGCACTCGGTCATCTCTCAGCAGTAGAGACAGGAGCCCAATGCCTATATGTTCAAATTTCCAGGGCAGGTTTCTTTGCTCCACACCATCTAGCAAGGTGTCTACCAAATTTTCATAGTTCCTTACAGCATCAGCATTCTTTTCTTGTTGGCGTTTCATTCCTTCCTTAATTTTTTCTGAGCTAAGCAATATCTGGTTGATAGAGGGGTTTTTTGACTGCTGAAGTGATTCCGCGATTGCAACACATGATTTTGAAATTGTGACGTCCAAGCCAATTGTTTCATACTGCCTATAAATCTTTTCTGCAAGATCATTGAACAGTCTCACTATTGATGGCTTTTCCAGGGACACTGCTTGGCTAAGCCCTGAAGAAAGAATCGCTGGCCAAGTCTGTACAATACAGTCCCAATCATGAAGGTTTGCCAAGCACACACCACTGCGATTTCCAAGGAGACAATACAAGGCACCCTTGAATTGCTGCTGTGTGACATCTTGTCTGTCAGGCCGTAAGAACTCCAAAACCAAGGGAATTATATCTCTGCAACAGAAGTTGTATGCTCCCAAGGCAGCAAAAAATGTTTGCTGAGCCTTATTTCTCACCTGACTGTATGAACTTGTAGATAAGCGAAGAAGATCTCTGATCACATCTTGATGTATCTTTTTATATTCACAACCGTCAACAGTTAGTGTCCGTAGCTCATGCTGTAACATTACTCTATCAATCAACAGTGCTCTGATATGTTGTTTTTTCCCATGGAGCTGATTTTCCATTGCTTTCTTTACTAAGTTGAAGCTTTTCCATCGGGAGTCAAATTCATGCTTGTGAGATCCTTGGAATTGCAAAAGGTCTCCAATAATCTTTATAATAAGAAACAATGACTTGGTATCATCTTCTGAATTATCAAGTATGTGGTTAAGAAGTTTCCTTATAATTCTAGCGATTGCTTCTCGGTGGTTCTCTCGAGACAGATCATATTCAAGTCCAGTATACAACTTTGTCTCTTCCAAGGACACCATACTTGGTACTAAGTTAGCAACTGGCTCTCCTTTCAACGGAGGTAGGAGGTTTCCAGAGCCAATTAAACAGTTGTGCACTATAGTCAGACTCTGTAGAATATCACCTCTAGACATTTCAAGTTTGCCGTCCCCACAGTGCTGAAGTTTGATGAGCTCAGGCTGAAGAAAGGAGTCCAAAAGATAAAAGGCAAAAGACACTTCTTCTGAAGAAGGAACATGCCACTGGATTCCCAGATTCCACAAGTCCCCAGGTTTGCCCCAGTCCTTGATAGGAAAGTATTTAGAAGGAGGTTTGTCAAAGCCACCTGGCACACTGCAGTATTCTGTAGGGTAGATAAGTGTGATAGAAAGAAGAAGATGATGCAAAAGGTTACAAGACAGAGTGTAACCCTGCTTACAGGTTAAATGCAGGGTTCTTTGGAGAATCTTTACAAGCTGCTCCCTATAAAGAAGCAACTTCCTTCCATCCACTCGAGTAATTTCAGACAAAAGTTGAAGATTCCACAGTAATTCCTTGTCTAGCTCTTCATCATTTAATACATCATCATTCATTGTAAGCTGAGTTATAACACTGCAGCAGTGAGGAACGAAGAGCTTCAAAGATTCTTCTGGGCAGCACTTTACAGCAGCGTGGCACATGTCTGCCACCATGCGACCTGCTACTCTTGTTTCAAATATATGTGACGTAGAAAAATTAAAAACCTTCTGAAGGGCCACCATAAATATTTCTTTGGAACACTGGGTGAGGACTATACTAAACGTAGAAGACAGACCTAATTTGACCAAACTCTCCAAGTGTGTCATTTTCTCAGTTTCTGTCTCTTCTCTTGTTTGCTCCAATGTGCTACTTTCTATAAGTCCAAAGCATCTGTCCATAAACTGTAAGACGAAATCCTCAAATTCAGCTGTGGCTGAGCAAAGCTCTCGTTCCACTTCTGTGAGGTCATTTCTTTCTTGTAGTACAGATGAACAATCTACTAAAGGCACCAGAGTCGAAAATGTTGCTATGAACTGGAATGTGATCATGCATTTACTAAAGTCATTTGGATCCACCCCAGGCAATGCTCTCATCAACAAAGGTAGCATATGTGTTGGACCTTCAGGAAACCATCTGCCCCCTGATACCAAACTGCGGGCTACTCCAATTACACAACTTAAAGTAGCTGTGAGCTGGTGAGGTTCTGTTAATGTCTCTAATGCAGGATACGTTCTTTCAAGTACAGGGGGTATTACTAATTCAGGTCTCATGAGTGCAAGATTCTGCAAAGCCTGGGCTGCTTCTAGACTACCAGTTTTGCTAAACATAGCCAAGAGGACAGGCTGAATAATGCATTGTACAAAGTCTGTAACATCTTGATCAGTAAGCTTGTGGCTATCAGGCACAGGAGTTAACCAAGAGGGCTTCTTGTATCTTTCATGGTGCAATCTTCTAACAACACTGTTTGGCAACTGCTGAAGTAGTTTCATTAACTTGTTCAGCCAGCGCCCATTATTTGAAGGATGGTAAAAAGATGAGATGCTGTTAAACAAACCAGCTAAGTGTTTTTGCACTAGCTTACTTGGTCCACCCATCATGGCGGTGATCCACATTACAGCATGACCTATATCATAAGCATTTGTTAAAAATCTTGGGACTAACACTTGATTGCTTCCCACTGGTAGGTTCAAGCTTCTCAGAATTCTTGTAAATATCTTTGGTACATATGGATCCCAATCTATGTACCCTATATTATCTGCAGCCAATCGAGCAAAGAGATTTACTAGCTGCCCCTCCCACTGTGGGAGATTTTGCACTGAAACCCAAAGGCCAGTTAATTCATCAAACCAAAGTTTAAAACCTTTATGATGAAGTTCTGGAGGAAGGGAGGTAGGAAGAAATATTTCAAAATAAGTGATGGCCTTTTGCATTGTTACATCAAAAGGGCACATTAAAGGTCGCCATTCTTCTAGCATCTCAGCAGTGGCATCTGCTGGAAAGTATGGTCGGCAGCTTTTCACGAGTGTTTTGAGAATATTTTCTACAGAATTAGGAAACCAATTTAATCCCAGGTGCTCTGTCTTCGAATATAAGATTCTTTCTACCACGTCATAAAGTGGTCTCCAGGGTAACTCCAAATCATCTCTTGAAAGAAGTTCCTTTTTCTTTAACAAGTTGATCAAAAGGCGGGCAAATCCCTGCATCATGCTGATTTCCAGTTTTGGAATTGATACCAGCTCATACAATAACTTAATAAAAAGAACATGATCTTCTTTGCTAAATTTTCTCCCATAAAGTCGAATATACGTGGAGAGTTTCCTGGTCCAGAAGAGGCCCCCGGGCCATAGCTCTTGGAGCTGCATGGCCCGGCCCAGGTTGCATTTGATCTGGGCCAGCAGCAAGTCGGACTCGGCGTCTAGGCGCTCGGCGTAGGGTAGCAGCTTGTTGTAGACAATCCCCTTCCCTCTGCGGGCTCCGCCTCCTCCGCGTCGTCGCCGCCTTGCGGCCACTGGCGGCCCCATCCCGTAGTCCTCGGACCGATCACTAGGCCCCCTTCCCTGGCCGGCGTGCTGCTGGGCCCGGCCTGGTTCCTGGTTCGTTGGCGGCGGCAGCGATCGCTCTGCCCGCCCCGCGCCGGTTCGGCTGGTGACGCTGCAGCCGAGGGGCCCAGAGGTTCCGGACCTGCCTCAAGTCACTTCCGGGGCGGGACGGGGCGACGGCGTAGTGGGAGGAGGTGATAGTCTAAAGGAATGTTATTCTGCTCCTTATTACATTTTTCTAAATAAGAACTTTGTATGGACATTTATCATGGTCTTGTTTCTATGGCTATGTTTAAGTGAAATAAATTTTTTTTCTTTTTGTTTTTACAAAGGATGGATAGCCAAGGATAGATTTTCCAGCTTCATATCTCTAGAACTTCCTGTTTTGTTGTGATGAGAAATGTAGCCTGAAGACTTTCTAAATATGAGCTTCTGCACCCTCCCCTGCTTTTCTTCTCTCCTTCTTTTCTTTGTCCCTATTGTCCTTTTCTGCACAATTTTTATTCTACTCCCAGTACTTGTTCCTTGGTGTAGTACTAAGCAAGCTTAGTAGGAGAAGAATTAGCAGTAGAGATGGTATGTAGCTCATAAAGCCTAAAATATTTACTGTCTGGCCCTCTCCAGGAAAGTTTGCCAACCCCTGTTCCACAGATGACTCTATCTTTTCTCTGAAGAGCGCCTCCCCCACTCTGTGTGGTCTAAGTGGTGCTGTCAATCTCTGTGCACCATCACCGGCAGTGAGATGTGTTCCTAGGAGGGGTTAATAAATGGAGCCTTCTTTGCAGCTGATATATAGATTTTAGGAGAGAGATTTTTCTATTGGGGTCACTTAGCTCCGGATTGTAAATCTCAGGTTGCTGGTAGCCACTTCTCTTAGCCATGTGGAGGAAGCCTATTTGCAATGGGAGAAAGGGGGTGTAGATTGTGAAGGCAGTTGGAGTGATTAATGAAATCTCTGACTCTAGCTAAAGCAGCTGCATCCTTGGACTTTGCAGCTACATGAGCCAATACATTCATTTTCTGCTTGAGCTAGTGTGAGGTGGATTTTGATGCCACAACCCAAAAAACCCAGACTAACACAGCTGTATACATGAAATCACATGTGCATGACCATTGAAATGATTTTTCTCAAATTAGTCCCTACTAAGGCTTTTTTTTTTTTTTTTTACTATAAGAGAATTAAAAACTTTAAAAAGAAATAAAAACAAGGGAGGAAGGAGAAATTAGTTTGCCCGTGAGCAAGAGAATACCTTACCTAAGATTTGATAACTTAGTCTAAATTTTTAAAAGGCTTGCAATGACTAGGCTGGGCATGGTAGTGCATGCCTGTAACCTCAGTGCTTTGGGAGGCTGAGACAGGAGGATTGCTTGAGGTCAGGAGTTTAAGACCAGCCTGGGCAACGTAGCAAGACCCCATTTCTACAAAAAGTAAAATAAATTAGCTGGGTGTGGTGGTGCACTCCTGTAGTCCTAGCTACTGAGGAGGCTGAGGCAGGAGGATCCCTTGAGAGCCTGAGAGTCCAAGGCTGCAGTGAGCTCCAGCCTGGGTGACAGAGTGAGACCCTGACTCTTTAAAAAAAAAAAAAAAAAGGTATGCACAAAGTAAGTTCAGCTTGTGGTTTATAAATAATATTGAAAATAATTTGGTTTAATGCAAATAACATCACATTTTGATAGGCCAGGGCTGGCAAAGTTTGAATTAGAACACATAAATTACTATCGTAGTAGAGTAGAACTTATCAGAAACATCAGTGGAGCTTTTTCAAAAACCAGGTTTGAAAAGGCCACACTGGGGACCACTGGGATAAATAACAAAGCTTGAGAATTACTACTCCAATGTGGTTCCTTCACCTTTAAAAACTGTGTATTTTATATTCTGCTTAATTTGTGATATTCTTAGATAAAGGCTCAAAGTCCTTACTCTTGTTATCTCTAAATATATATTCATACCACCAGCAGATGGTTTCACCAATACCTCAAGACTATTTTTTAATTGACTACACCTGGTGGTAGCAAGCACCTGGGGAAACCCTGTAGCTCTATTAGACCAAGGTCAGATCCAAAACAAGGAATCATCGCTAGGATATCAGGAAGGCACAGAAGCACACGTTTGAAATTTATTAAGATATTTTATTAAAATATTGGAGCAGCAATCTTTTTATCTTGAACAAAAGAGTGAACAGAAATCTGTCCCAGATAAATAATTTAGGATTGGCTTTAATTAGCTCCTGATATGATTCTCTGGACATTAAAATCACTCATGTGTAAGCACCGCAGACGCCAGGCCCTCAGGCACCTGAAAGCAACCTCCTTTCTCTCTTCATTAGAATGACTGAAAGCACTGCCAAACGCTCACTTTGACTAGAGCAGGGCAACAGGAGGCCCGGCAGGGTGAGAAACTCACTTTGCAAACCACAGGGGTGGAACGGAGGCTGTGGGTCTGTGGAAAGGGCCCAACTGGCCATACCAGGGGGAGCCCCCAGGCCTCAGGTCCACATCTGAAAGGGAGAGTCCCTCCTTGGTCTATCAACAATTTCACCTGTAATTTGTCCACACACAGTGCTTTTGTTCTGCTTAATGCTGGGAGGGAGGTACATGAGAAAGAGTAGGCCAGGAGGGAATAAACCCCTAGCACTTTCTTTTCTTATAGTTTATTACATAACTCTCTTTTGTCCATTTTCTTCTTAAAGTCTGAAATGGAAGGGGACCTAGTTCTTGCTTTGGATGACAGAGAGAATCCAAATGATGGCTGCCATTCTGTGTTTTGCTTAACTCATTCCAAAAGCATACATGCACTTAGAAGCTATTTTCTTCTAAGAAGTGAACGTGGCCATTTTCCAGGCAGCTCTATAAACCAGCGAAAAATCAGAACTTAGGTCACAGATTAAGAAAGGAATTCTCTGAATAACCCCTCTTGTCTTTCCCACAACATCCTGTCCCCAGTCACCTCCTAGAAGCTCAAGGCAACTTGCAGCGAGAGTTTTCTTATACACGTCCTATCTTAACCAGAGTTACCAGTGCAGCAGCAAAAGCAATTACAGTAGTAGTGACAAATCACTTTCACAAACATTATCTTATTTGCTCTCATAGCAATCCTATGAAGAATGAGCACAAGTACTATGGTCTTCATTCTGTGGATCAACAGACTGAGATTCCAAAATGTTAAGGTAGTAATTGAGAGAGCAGGCACTTGAAATTCAAGCCTTTTACCTATAACTCAAGTAAAAGAGCCTATATCACTCTACTAGTTAGTTACAGACCGTGGAGTTGACTGGCTTAATAGCTAGGAGTACCAGAGAAGTCTGTCTCTCAAATGTTAAAAGGAGCCTGGAGCTAAGTAGCTGGTGTTACTTCCAGGGCTGCCTCTTGGAAGACGCAGTGGCTTTGCTCTGTCACGCTCCAGGGAGCTCAGAAGTGACGGAATGGGGACATGGATTTTAACCTAAAAAAGATCTGCCTAATGCTTATAGTCATCAATTGTATACCTCAGAAGTGGTGAAAAGGTCATGCAGAGATGGCTTAAAAATGCAGCAGACAGCTGGGTGTGGTGGCTCACACCTGTAATTCCAGTACTTTGGGAGGCCGAGGCAAAAGGATTACTTGAGTTCAGGAGTTTGAGATCAGCCTAGTCAACCTAGGGATACCCACAACTCTACAAAAAATTTAAAAATTGGCTGGGTGTGGTAGTGCATGCCTATAGTCCTAGCTACTTGAGAGGCTGAGGTAGGAGGTCAAGGCTGCAGTGAGCAACGATCATGCCACTGCACTCCAGCCTGGGTGACAGAGCAAGACCATTTCTTTAAAAAAAAAAATGTGGCAGGCTGTTGTACAAGAGATCCAAGTCAGATAGGGGCTTAGAAAAACCTCAGGGCTCATCCAGCCCCAAGATTTCTATGAGTTCCTGGAAAAGCAGAGAGGAAGAAAGGAGGCTTTGAAAGCAGAAGTAATGATTCCATGAGGATGTTGGCTGCGTTTTTCCTCTAGAAGGTGAACCAGAGAATAAAGAACAGATTTTTCTTTATTAGTACAACTGGAGTTAGAAACCAAAAGAATGGAGGGAACAAGCAAGTAAGGAGAAGAAAGAAAGGAATGTGTTATGTTTCCTTTGAGAGAATCATTTGTCGGGATAGTACATCTCAAATCTGATAACAGCTGATAAACTCACCTTTGAGTATTCCATAAAAATACAACCTGATTTTAAAAAATCAAAACCTATTTTTAGTTCACTTTTTGCACTAGTTCCATGCAGAGATATTTAGCCAAGCATTACAACTGGTATTATGGGTTGAATTGTATCCTCCGGAAAACATATGTTGAGGTCCTAACCGCAAGTACCTCAGAATGTGATATCATTCAGAAATAGGGTATTTACAGAGGTAATAAAGTTGAAGTGAGGTCATTAGAAGGGACCCTAATCCAATGTAACTGTGTCACAGACAGGGAATTTGGACACACACAGGGAGAATGCCACATGAAGATGGAGGCAGATGCCAGGTGATGCATCTTCAAGCCAAGGAAGGCCAAAGATTGCCCGAAAACCACCAGAAGCTAGAAGAGGGGCCTGGGACAGGTTTTCCCTTGCAGCCCCAAGGAGGAACAAGCCCCACTGATACCTTGATTGTGGACTTCCAGCCTTCAGGACTGTGAGGCAATGTGTTTCTGTTGTTTAAGCCACCCAGCCTGGGGTACTTTGCTACAGCAACGTTAAGTACACCAGTCCTACTGGCTATTTGAGTTTCACCTTTCCTGGCTCCATACTTTCCAGGTAAAGGCCTGGAGTGCTCTGAAACTGTGATGCTCAAAAGGCAAGGAGAATCCAATAAGTTGGAGCAGGAAGTAATCACAGAGGTCATCAATCTTAACTTGTTTCATAGAGATGAAAACTGAAGTTCAGAGCAGTGAGTGACCTGCCCAAGTTTTCACCATGCAGAGCCATGACTCAAAAGAACCCCATTTATCAGAAATCACCTCTGAAACCATTGGCTGGAAAATGGCCA